CATCCTAGATTCTCTAGTCTTTCTCAGCTCCCAGAAATCTGGGAATTTCAGGTCAATCTCAAATTAAATGCTAGTTATTGGAGAGAAGTAGCTAGTCATTAACCTTGATCTATTTTTTAAAAATTAAACAAATCATAATTTGTTATAACCCCAATTCCAAAGAGAATCTAAAGTTGCAACCAACAATGTACAAAAACAATGATACCAAATGAAATTTCAAAAGAGTATAGCATGGAAAGTTATCTGCCCATTTCTTAACGAAGAGATAAATTCAAGATTGGAAACAAGTTTCTTAATACATACCCACGTTATACAATAATATAACAAGGAGACAATAAAACAGAATGATTATTTTGGACAAAAATACATCATATTCCAGCAGCTAATATTCAGAATCAGATTTTCGACCTAATGCCCTCCAGAAGGGTTTGGATTGCAGTTCCCAGAATTTCCAGACAACATGAGCTGAGAAACCTGACAGTTGTACACCCCACACATCTGGAAGGCATTAGATTGGGAAATGCTACTGTAACGAATATGATCACCAGCATAAGCTATTTTTAGGCAAACTCCAGCTACAGTGTTCTGGAAACAGATGGCTTCTTGTAGGAATGTCCTCTTCTGGTAATTGATTTACTTGCTCTTAAGAGAACAATTAACCTGCTGTTTTAGGGAATGCACAGAAGAGTTTGTACAGTTTTAAAACAAATAAATGCTCCTATGTGCAAAGCCTATTAAATTGCGGGTGCAGTTAGTTTATGTAATATATGACCATACAGCAGAGCGCATATATGATGCTATACTGCCCAGGGAAAGAATGTACTTTTAATTGCTTGTTGCAAGGCTAAGGAAGGCGCATAAGGAGTAGATACTATTTCATGGACCTTATCCTTGTTCCAGTTGTCTGTGTCTTCCGTGTCTCAGCTGTTACTTAGGAAATCATTTGGGCAAAACCTTTTAGCAGCACACGGTGAACAGAAAACATGGCAGTACATCATTACCAAGAGACACCCGCGTTATGTAATGATTGTCACGAAGACCTCCAGCATCAAAGACTTTTGTAAGGTTTCAGCTTGTGAGAGGTGTATCTGCATTTGCTTTGGAAAAGACAAAGAATTAGGAAATTAAAAATGGATTTTGGCATGGATGCCATAGAGACAAAAAGTGTAGAATGTCTTTTGTAGCATCCTAGATGAGTCTCCCAAATGCAAATAAATAAATTAATATGCTTGCTTTATGGAGCTACTTGATAAGATGGCACTTGTGGTGTCTATCCAGTTGCATTTTCACACTGAGACATTGTGTCACAAAGGAATATCATATGACAGGACCTGAGAGCCTTTTCTGCCACAGTGCCTGTCCTTCAGAACATCATTCCCCCCTGAGGTGAGACTGGCCCCAACCTTGTTCCAGAACAGCCTGAAGACATGGCTTTGCCATCTGGTCTGGTGATCCGGTGACATTGGTGGAGATCCTGCTTAGTGGTTGTACTTTCAGGAAAATTAATGATGTTCTCCTGCTGATTATGTTTTTTTTAATTGATTTTGTTTTCTGGATTTTTAACTTTGTAAGCCACTCAGAGTCACGGCAGTGAGATGGGCAGCTATATAAATTTAATAAAATAAAAAATATATAAATACTGTAAATGTGTAATTAAACCCACTCTATTCTGCCCTTATTTGATTACTGTGTTTATTATATCACTTCACAGTTTTGTTGAACTAATTTATTGATAAAGGTAAGGTAAAGTCTCTCAAGTTGAGCTTGACTCCTGTTGACTTTATGGACACATCTGCATTGTTTTCTTAGTAACTACAGTATACGGAACTGCTTTTCCCACTTCTGAGATTTTTTAATTTTTTAAATTTATTTTAGCTTCCCAGTCCCATGATTTCCTAGAGGTCTTCCATTCAAGAATGTGATATAAATATTAAAAAAAAATATACAGCTGTATGGGCATTTACACTTTCAACTCTAATATGCAGCAATGCCAAAGTAAAAATAATCGTAGGAGCAAAAAAAAAAGAAGAGAAAAAAAACTATATTTTGAAGCATAATTTTTAAAATATTATCATGTTACTCTTGTTACTACACAAAAAAGTCAGGTTAATTTCAAAAATAAAATGTACCTAATCTGTTTTTAACATAAAATGCATTCTAGCAATATAACTTTGCTAATTCAGATACCTGATTATTATCCTGCATTCAGTTAATAGATCTAAATGCCATAATTTTGGAAGAAAATAAAGGTGACATTCTGTAAAAAAAATTCTGGCCCAAAGTCTGCTGATATTGGCTTTATCTGACAGGCCACAAAATGGAGGATGAATGTATTTAGCAGCATTTCTTACACTATAATTGAAGAGACACCTGCAGTCTATTAATTTCTTTGTAAAGATTGTGATTTCTAATGGAATTTATAAAAGTTGTTTTAATTATTATAGATTTAGCAATACTTCTTAGTTAAGTTTCAGAAGAATTTTGTTTTCAAAATTCTTGTTTGATTAAATGAAAATCTGACCCCACTGACCTTGTAAGTTATAAGTTCCTCTGCTTTGCTAATACTGGACTATATTGTATTCATCCATGGATGGGATTTTGGTGTCAGAGATGCAAAACAAAGGAATGATCTGGAGAAATTATTGGATGGGGATCTTACATAGGATAGGGTGACCTTTGCTCTTATATAAGTATCTCCCAGAATCCCAGCCCTTAAATAAATGTAAGTTCTTAGTTGAAGGAATATGAACAGAATGCATGTCTTTTTCTGGAACTCTATGCAAACTCACATTACAATATAACACTGATACGTTAAAAGTTTGGTTCATGTACTATTGCATTCAAAAGTTTTGTTTCCATATATCAAACATGGGGAATCAGTGACCTTTCTGATACTGTCAAGGATATCTCATAGCAATCCCAGCCAACATAGCCCATGGGTGAGATGTTGGCAGCCGTAGTTCAGCACAGACTTTGCACCCTGGCATACTTTTTGATATAGGTAAAAAAAATGCCCCAACTATCACAGCTAACACAACAGTACGAAAACTCTCATTTTTATTACTGGTGAATGATATTAATAGCTCATGTGAAATTGTTTTTCACATGCTGTATGAGAGCTGGAAAACTTCAGATGCTCAGTTTCTGGAAGCTACTGGTGTTGCAATCTTTCATGTCAATGAAGTTAATACAAAAACTAGTGACAAAGATAGAGGCTAAACAGCAGCTAAAATGGTAATTGCTCCCTGCAGGGTGAAAAAACATCATAGGAAAATCAAGAGGCCAAACCTAACTGAAAAGTAACAAGTACCATATGTTGTAAGTAGGTCTAGAAGGCTATGTGCAAGAAAGTGTATGGTTTAATTGCTGAACTACAATATATGCAACTGGATCAGTTTCTAATGCAAATTCTGGAAAACTTCAGTAAAAATTAAGTATATTGGTTTAAACCTAATTCAAACCTGTAGCATTATACAAATGACAGCTTTCAGTTTTGTGAAAAACCATCTTTCTGAATACAACCAATTTATGGTGGTTGACAAAAGGGGTAATCTAGCCTTCTCATCTTCAGGTACAAAATGTTATGAAAATCAGCTACATTTATTGTTCAAATTAAGTACTGGTAACAGGACCATGGGACTTCTCTGTTGGCAATTATTTTCCTTTCATTTGTTTTACATTTGTTGGTTTGCTTTACTAGCTACCTCACAAGAGTTCCTTACTGGGGATTATAAATCTCTGGAGTGGAGGAGAGAGATACCTAATTTCCAATAAACTATCAAGTTCACCATGTGGAACAATATTCCCCACCCCTGGGCAAAGGATCCATACTACTTCCACCCTTTTGACTTTCTGCAAACTGCTAAAAACCTGGTGGTTCTCCAGGCCTTGGGTTAGGAAGTTTGTATTTTTTTCTTGATATAATTTGTCTTAAAAAAAAAAAAAAAAAACTAAGCTGCCCAGAGTTGCTATGGGGTTGGAGGCCCTTGAAAATGAAATAATATTAAATCATGTATCTGTTCCTGTGTAAGAAATATGTGTGTGAGAGAGAATATATGCTGCTCTTTCTTAGATATGGTACAAGCAAAATATGCAATACCTGCTACCCAGATTTTAGCCCCAAGTGTTACATTCATGTGTTTAAAATATTCTTCAAGATCAGCATTTCAGGACAAAACTTACAAATATATGTTGTGTTCACATACCACACTGACTGGCAATCACGTTTTAGCAGCCAGTGGACTAGGTCAATTTATTATTCGGAGTGTTGTGCAAAGTCATAAAATTAGATAAGTTAACAGCTTTGGTTCAGTAAGCCAGAGGTAAGCCCGCTGTGCTAATACAACCACAATAGTGCTTAAGAAAGTCAGAAAACCCATTTTCATTGGGATGGCCCCCTCCTTTACTGCCATTTTTTCAAGCACCTTGCATTGTACAACCACCGCTTCGGGCTTCTTCCACTGGTCCCTGAATCTAAGCGACCTCCTCCTCCCGCATTCCTGGATCCCCATCAGGCCAAACTGACTTGCAGCCAACTGAGGGAATCGGGTTGTCACAAGCCGGCCAATCAAAAAGTTGTCTCTGGCACGCCCTCTCGCCACGTGGTCTCTCATCAAAGGGGGGGCTGCTTGACCCTCCCACGGCTGCGCCGTTTCTCAACGATCCGTAAAACCACGCCTACAACTCCTTCAACGGTGCGGTGGGGTTTCAATGCCAAGGCCAGACTTTGCCCATTAGTCGAGGGAAACGTACCTCAGAGTCAGTGGCGTGGCTGTCGTCCTTTTCTCCATTGCCCGGAAGACAAAGATGGCCTCACAAAATCTGGTAGGGCTGGAGGAAGATGAAGTTGTCAGCGGGGCTCAGCTCATCGCGGAGGCCCTGAAGACGCAAGTAAGGGTGCTGGGTGACTCCCGAACCTGGTTACAGCCGGAAATGGGTTATCTGCCTACGGGGAATGGGAAAGACCATTTCGAAGTGCCGCGAAGCGTAGAGTTGGGGAATAAATTCTGAAAGGCGGGCACAGCGATCAGAAGATCGCTCAGACCCTATTACACTCCGCCCCGGCACGTCTAATTTAGAAAGAAGGAGTTTGCCTCTAACAAGGTGCATGCGATGACCACGTTTGTTTAACCGTGGTTTATTGAACAAGCCACAGTTGGGTAGATTCACGCAACCTACAGGATCAACACAAAGAGAGCACATTATGTTTGTTGTGTGAATCAAGACATGGTAGTATTCACAAAACTTAACGATACAAAACAGATACACAAGGTTCACTTTAGAACATCCACATAAACTAGGACCCTTTTGTGACACATCTGCTAAGGCAAGGGTCCTACAATAGGTGATTATAGGAATTTATAAGGAAAACTCCATGATTTTCACCTGTACTTATTTTAGGAAGCTGTAAATGCTTATTATTTCCAGTATGAATGTTTATGGAATACTCATCCAGTGTATGTTACAAATAAATTTCTCACAAAACCTATGAATTTGCCTAGAAACAAATTCCACTGTGTTCAGAAAAGGCTTCTCATAAGTTTGCAGTCTAGGTGCTGGTGATTTTTTTCTATTTAATAATTCTGCAGAGGTGAAATGATTTGCATAGAATCTGAGATTCTATTTATTTTAAATTGTAAACTAACCACTGTTGTTTCACAGTTGTCCTTTACCCTGTCCTGTGCTACAATTTATTTATTTCTATCTTAACTCTAAGATGTTGAGCCTAACATATTGAACAAAATTGAATTCATAAGCTTAGATTTTTGATCAGTCAAAAATAAATAGTACTTAGAAAAGCAGATACAAGAAAAGAACATTGTGGGGGAAATGGGTTCTTTTGAATTACAGACTCATTTTGTGATTAACGGGGTAAATCCTGTATGATCTGATTAACTAACCTTTTTAGTCAAGAATCTTAATATAATGCCAATAATAATACCCTGGTAATATAGAATTTGTTTCAGGCAAGAGATGCCAGTTAGATCTTACAAGTCTTTCGGCCTAGAATGATAATTTTTCTTACTATTTCGCAACAGTGTTTGAGGCAGTTACCTACTGAGTATTGCTGGGCAAATGAGATAATCCATATAGGTACAGTAAATGCTAGATTGCAGGGAACAGCCAGTTTGGTGTATTGATTAAAATCACTGGGCTAAAACCTGGGAGACTATTAATTCTAATCTTGCCTTGGGCACAAAGCCAACTGGGTGACTTTGGGCTAAATACTCTCAACCCTAGGAAGAAGGCAATGGCAAGCCATTTCTGAAAATTCTGTCAAGAATTGCATGGACTTCTCCATGCCATTGTCAACAGTCAAGACTGACTTGAAGGTGCAAATTATAATAATTGCAGGAAAAACTTAAAAGGTAATGGAATGTTGGCTTTTGGTTTTTTACTAGTGGAAAATCAATGTTTCTTTATAGTTATTATTGCATCATAAATAATTGCCAAATATTCCATTCCCTTTATAACTAGTCAACAAATGTTACTATTTTGTGTAACAAGAGAGTTCTTTACTATTTGGTAGGAGAGATGCTTAATCATTCTGTATCTCTGTGTTGCCATCTCCTGGTCCTCCAGATATGGTAATCCTACTAGACCACCATCTATCTGGGATGTTTTGGATTCCTAAACTGAGCATTGGTTTGGACTGAATGGCCAAAGTAGCCCTTTCCAATGTTATGATTGTATGAAATCTCAAATGGGGGGAGGGAGAGAGACATTAAAGATAATTAGTTAAATCAAATAGATGTATTAAAAATAAAATATTTGTTTCAGAACATTGAGTATATGTTTGGCATTGTTGGTGTTCCTGTGACAGAAGTAGCAATTGCTGCACAAGCAAATGGAATTAAATATATAGGAATGCGTAACGAACAAGCTGTAAGTATCTCCTGGATTAATTACTGTTTCTGCTTGCTCAATAACTATTCTGTGCTAAAATCTCATTTTGCTATTACATAACCTGACAGTATATGTGTTCTTCTCACCCTTTTTGCTGCCTCTTTCAGAATTGTTTCTGATAATGACAGCACAGATGCAAACACTTTGATTTTTTATTTTGCTGATTTGCAACAGGAAGCTGGCAATTTCTACACATGTCTTTGTCCTTAACAACAAAAAAGTGGTCTTTACCACCATTCCCCAAAGTATTCTCTGGAATTAGGGGAATGGTAGTCGGCCTAGACCGCCTCACAGTGTGAGGAAAATAGAAGCATTATGTAAGTATGTCACGTTGTGTCAACCAAAAATAAAGCAGAATAAAAATCAGTCAGATCTGGAGAGTAAGTGCAGAAATCAGTAGGGATTAGATTCAGAGTATCAGTGCTGTCGAGGAAAGAAACACAAAACATGATATAAAAATGCAAGAGGAAGATTACTTCTCTCTGTGTTCAATTAAAAGTGTAAAATATGCTTTATATAGACACAGTGATGGCTATGGAAAGGACCAATGAACTGTCAGTTTTTTTGAATTGCTTTATTAAGTGTAATTGATATTGAGTGATATCCCCATAGAAACATATTTAAGGGGAAGATTGTTTCATTACACAGTAGCTGGGTATGAAGAAAGTTTTAGGCTTAATTTTCATGTGAATTATTTACAGTGTCACAACTTGTATGTTCCCTTTTTCTGAGATCCCAGGAAAGTTCAGGTTTTAAGTGGGAGGACAAGAGGTCAGGGGAAATTATGGCATTTGCATGATGTTATTATGCAAACACTGCAACATATGTATTTGTGTCAGACATCAGGGTGCAACTACATAAGGCCAGCATGCACAGATGTCATGATTGCTTCAGATGCTACTTTTAAAAAGCAGAGTCCAACACTCACTATTGGTCAAGCCTAGATAATTAGAATTTGACTTAATATATTATCCTCTCATTATGTAAAAATAAATGATATAGAATGCTC